TGCTTGTCAGGTCACCTCTGCCATCTAGTCCCTTTTCAAATATGTTTTCCACCTCTATGTCTGTGACCTGCAAGTTATAAAAGTTATAAAAGATTATATTTAATTTTCCAGACAAGTGATCAGTTAAAAAGAGTTCTACACAGACGTTAACAGCATTTTAAACGTATATATTACATGTACAGAATAATTCTTCAGCCATAAAAGATATAATTGAATAGTTTAGATTTCTTAGACAACGGTACAAGTAGCCTAAGGGCCAGTTATAAAAGTTATTATAACATGTCTTGTCTTAAAAAAAAGTACACAATTTTGAACCGCCATTTTAAAAGTACATAACAGAATAATTCTCTCACCTTCAAGCCTTTTCTACCCCAGTTTAATGGCGTAAAGGGTTTGTTCAAATAGCTGTGGTCAAGGACTGCCCACTCTTGTAAGTCTGTTTATCATACATGTACTCGCAATCGATACATCGTTATTGTGTAGTGCACAATAATTTAAGGACCTTTGATCTTCACAGATCATTCGTATCGACGTTATTCTGTAATTGTATGGTTCTAGGCAAGTCATCCAGTTAGTATCCCACTTTCTTCCTGGACAGATTCTGTGCTTTACATGGGAGAAACCTGAAATTTAAAAAAAAGATTTTTTACAGTGTGGTTTAAGCATATGAACCAGGTGTAAAAAAACTTCTCAAATAATTACATTTAGTTAATTTTCAGAAATTCCTAGCCTTGATGTTTTTCCTAGGCTTAGCGATGTTTGCAATCCTCGGGCTACAGCCTTTTTCCAATCATGAATCACCAGACTCAGAAAACTTTCTAACAACCAGAAGCGACTGCCAGCAACATGTTTACAGGTCCCGATGATGTCCTCTTCCCGCAGGGCAGTTCACATGCGAGTTTATGACATCACCAGCTCTGGAACCAGCAATTTTATCTTGTAGTTAAAGCAACCGTAGAAATAAATTGCCTATATTTAAAGCCGACACAATGGCGCATCCAACACGCTTAATTTCTCTTAGTACTAGACTCAGCAAATACTTCGTGTCATGCATAATCACACTACCGTAATGACAAAATAAACTCTAGTGCCTCCTATTTCACTGTCGCGTTTGCTTAAAACCCACAAGCAAAGAGGTGAGGAAACTGGCGCAAAACGCCCGACTGCTTCCCAAACAATAGATTCGAAGTGGTGACGTGACGTCACATGTTTTTTATCTTTGCTCGCGCCCGTAGCGCTGTACCGCCCGCCCACCGCGCACGGGGTGCCTAGGCGGATTGGGAAACTGTCAACAACATCGGGATTTCAACAAAATTGCCGAGGCATTTTTCAAAAACCTTTTATAAGACAACGCGCAGTCAAAGGAGGAACTAGATATCATTTCGCCATAAGTAGTATATTATGCATGACACGAAGTATTGTATCTAGTACTGGAGAAATTAGCGTTTGGATGCGCATTTGTGCGGCTTTAATTTAGGCTTTTTAAAACATAATTATTTAAAACAACATGTATTAATTATTTATAAACAACCCTATAATCTAAAATTTAGGTTAATTTTTAATAATTTAATTTGACAACCTATTAAATCATTTATTTATACTATGTTACGAAGCTAACAAATTATCAATGTATTAACCTTTTTTTTCATTGCGCCAAACCACGCTACAATGCGATTCCTTGATGCTTGAAAACCCCCAAAATCGACTCTAACTTTGCTCAAACTCGACCAAAGGCAAATATATGGGCCAAATAACAGTTCGGGTCCCTTACCAGGCCCATATGTGGGGGGGGCGTTTCCGGGTCTAAAATTTGGGCTCCTTAAAAAAATTCTTAGCTGAAGAACATATTGAACCCAGATTTGACCACTTAAAAATGTCGTTCATAATTTGCAGATTTGGCTCTATTACGTGCCATAAGCTTCCTGACTATAGTCACAGAGACGCCGCATGAAATAAAGGGATTGAAGTGTCTTTTCTCTTTGAACAAAAACGGAGGAACAAAGCCTAGAAATCACACAACATGCATCACAGTGTTACGTAGGAGTTCGCGTTTGCTAATCATTGAAAAAATTTATTGCTGTACGGGATAAATCATCGTTAATTCCTTTCTTAATTACGTGGCCGAGTGTTTTGGATAATTGACGATCATATCGCGACATCCAAGAGGTTTGTGCCAGGACATGCGAAATATAGCGTGTTTTTCATATCATGGTCATTCACTAGAGCTCTATCTAACAACTGGGAGCGAGTATGTAATGTAATGAATGTAATGAAATAGTGATATTCTGGGATGTGTGTGTACGTGTGTGTGTGCGTGCGTGTCGTGCGTCGCGCGTGGCGTCGTGTTGCCTGCGTGCAGTGCTGCGCTGCGTACGTCGGGCGTGCGTGTGTATGGGCAAATTGCGGCAATGTGTGCCATGTGAATAAATAATAGTAGGCCTAATTATAGTTTTCTATATATGGACTCTTGCACTATATATATATATATATATATAAATATATGCAGTAATAGATAAATATGTATGTGTCTCTATAGTATTTCTGTGGGCTGCACGCAAAAGCGAGTGCGCCGTCACGCGCGACGGAGAGCTGACGCACACGTGCTGCCACACTGCGCTCCGTTCATGTGGGTAATTCAGCCTATTCACCGGAGGGTAAACTTTAAATTTACAAAAGAGCTATGTCTAGATTATTACTCGCTCATAATTACAGCTTTTACACAACACAGCGGTGAACACTTTCCAAACAGACAGTTTTGCTGCCGGGAAATCAACCTGCGATGCCTATACGTACACCGAAAAACGCTGACTTAGTAACTTAACTATATTCAGGCCGATCGGTCTCGAATCAACCTGCTGCGAGGCTACTCGAGCGAGAGCAAGCCGATCACGCACACACGCACACACACGCACGCACGCCACGCACGCCACACACACACATACACGCACGCACGCCCACGCCCACGCACGCCACGCCACACACACACATACGCATGCACAGCACGCGCCGCACACGCACACACACACAGCGCACTCACGCACGGCATACACGCCACGGTTACGCAACGCACGTAACGCACACACACACACACGCAACACACACACACACACACACACACATCACACACACACACACCACACACACACACACACAGAGAGCATAGTGAGAGCAGAGAGACGAGACAGAGAGCCAGAGAGAGAGAAAGAGAGCAGATGTGAGGCAGAGAGCGAGAGAGGAGAGAGAGAGAAGAAGTCGAGAGAAGAGAGAGCAGAGAACGAAGAGAGAGAGAGAAGAGAGAAGGAGAGAGAACAGAGGGCAGACGAGAGAGAAGGAGACGAGCAGAGAGAGAGACGAAGAGAAGAGCAAGATCTAACGAGCCAGTTCGGTTTCGCATTCATCCAGAGATACCCGCATTCATAGACACTATATTTAGCAGTACGATTATCTATAAACCATAATAAGCCTAACTCAAGAACCCAGCTACAACGCTATAGCCCCCAGGAAACGCAAATCCATTAAAAAACGGGGGGACCGTCGTGCGTTCAGGAAGCCTGCAGCAGGAGCGAACCGGCGCGAGTGCGAGCTGGGAGGCGGTAATCCCCGTCCAACGATAGGAACTTTTATATTTTGATCCTCAATAAGGTTCCATTTCGCGTATTTTACTTGCAAGTAATCGACATTGTTTTATCGTTACCATGCCATTCAACGGCTTTCCATCTTCAAATCAATGTTTTTTTTTACTCGTCATGTATATCGTTGATATGTATTCCACCAGGGGCCCTTCGATCTATTTGAGGATGTGGAGCGGGCAAACAATTATATTCCAGAATTTAACGTGTTCAAAGTATGTAGCTCAAAAACTATTGATATATTTGTGTTCTCGCTTAATTTATCTGCAAAACAAATTTAACTTTGAAGCGTTTCACATATACTGCGAATTACAACCATTGCACTTGCAAACATTAAATTTTTATGGATACTGAAGTCAAGATGATAAAAAAGGACTGGAAACCCCCTTTCAATTAAAAGCTAGTAGCCCTCATTTGCCAAAGCATACTTGGGAGCGTCATCGATCAAATTGATTCCATCTGTAACTTACACAATGAGGACTCATCACAAGATAAACATATCACGAGCATTGGGTTTTTATGCCGTTATAATGCGACATTGAAATGAGAAATTAAACGTTTTCCTCGTTTAAGGCCGAAATGAAAGATGCCTGAATAACTCAGAGAAACATATCCTGATGCAAATAATTGGCATCTACAAATGAAATTGTATAAAAATTGGGAGGGCGTTTGCAGGCCGTAGTGGCCGCCACGGCCCCAGCACGCGAACTGCCGTGGCCACTATATTGACAAAAAATAGTCCAGGATACCAAGGCAGCAGCAACAATACCAACGGAGATGAAACCCCGCGGGGGGGGGCACTCACCCCACATTTTATGGTAGTATGTGTGCACTGCGAAGGTCAAAAAGGGGGCGGGGGGGCCTCGTGCGGAAACTAAACTCAGACCTGAAAATGGATGGTCTCTGAAACGAATGTTTGTTGAAATGTGGCTATGCTCTGGAACCGGCTGATGCTTTCGAAAATGGGGGTCTCCGCGAATTTGGATTTTGTTGAATTCATTGCCATAAATTCGGACACGTTAAAAGCAGCGGGCGTCTCCGGAACTGGTGGGGGGGGGGGGGGGCCAGTCGATTATGCGTTAAAATCTAATGCATGTAGCACTTGAACCAATAATTGTTTGATTAGTAGAGGAGAGAAAAACATGACCCGGATGAGAAGATGAACCGCCACGCACACGCACACACACACACACACACACACACACACACACAACAACACACACCACACACACACCACCGACAACGCCGCCACGCACGCACGTACGCACGCAGCACGCACGTACGCACGCACGCAACGCACGCACGCACCAACACAAACACCACACAACACAACACGTGCATGATGCCTCACGGCCAGCTTCAACGATTCTGATGTACGAGCACTAAAACGAAAATATTAAAATCATTATATTATTTTCCATAAGTAATGTACTGATTA